TTTTAGTTTAAAGCAAGGGTCAGCAACTTACAGCCCAGAGGCCACATCTGTGAAGCCAAGGGGCTCGGCAGTGCTGCAGAACTGGAGAGCTTTGCCAACATTGTGGAAGGGCCAGATCTTTGCCCATGCCATGACTGGGAGCTGAAGAGAAGCAGCAGGAGTGGGCAGCCAGGTTGTTCTGGCTGGCTGTTTTAAAAGGTTGTTTTTTGCTGGTTTAAAGTATTTTTTTCTGTATAAAGTCACAAGAATCTGAAAATGGAACGTTATCATTAAAGCTTGCTGAAATTTTTCCTTGGAAAATTTAACTAATCAAAGCTATACAAAAAAACCCACTGAATATTTTTATCCCGAATATGAAAGTTCTCAGCCAAAAAAAATCTAATTTTGAAATTTTGGAACAATCTGATTTTAATATTTTCAGTTAAATGACAGGTTTTGATACTTCTGAATCAGAAGATTTCTCTGTTTAGTGGTACTCTATCAAATGCTTTGTCTTAGCGTCCACCTATGTTGCCATAGCTCCAGGCGTAAGAGTTATTATTTAGGAGACTCCTACCTCTAGACTGCTTTTGGACTGGGATCTGTGGCTGGATGATATTTGTCAGGATGAACCAAAGCCTCGCTTTGTTCTGACTCCGTACTATGCGTGATTATGATTTCACTGTTTTATGTCTCTGGGGAGATTTAGTCCAAGAGGGGGTATCTTGGCCCATGAAGAAGAATGGGGCGTGAAGAAATCAAACTACAATCCCACAGGGTATTTCCCAACCAACACTCTTTTGGTTTGTAGCCAAATAAAGCTTTTGTTTTAGGATTTTTTTTTACTGGAAAACCTAATTTTTCAGTCAGTTAACAATACCAGTGGAAAATTTTCAAATAGCCCCTCTCATAATGCTTGTCACAGCTTTATGAAGTTCTAAAATCAGGCAAATTTTTAACTTGAGCCAGTTGGAAGAATACTTAGCCAAATATGCACAAAAAGCTCCATGGTCTTTACTGCAAACGTGAAATGATGTTAACAAGTACATTTTCCTAGCCAAAGTTAAATTCACATTAAATTAGGCTTTATAACAATATCTAGCTGCATCCTTCACTACAGAACTGTGATCAACAACTCTACAATACTCAGATGCAACAACATTTTGTTTGTTCAGTGGTATCTACGAATTACCTTAGCAATCTGAGAGGTGTTGTTATAGAATACAGAGGGACTGTAGGTGCCAAGATTTTTGTATGCATATAACTTTTCTGCTGTATGTCCCTTGTCAAGCTCTGAAACAAGAAACATGTATTTGTACAAATTTCATTTTACAAGTGAGTGACCTGTTCCTTTCTCTTCTTGTTACAATCTCTGAACTATAGTCACTCTTTAAATTAAGTTTTAGGTTCACAATCTAGTATAATGGTGTGTCGTGAATATGACACAAGCCCTGTTTTCTTATACAGTCTATCAATACTAGACACTGAACTCATAAAAGTCTTTGAAAACTGGCTTCATTCTGAGCTGCTGCTACTTCAGGATTCTTTCCCAGATCTTGGAAAACTGAGATTGCCCCATTCTAATTCAGAAGTACTAAACCAATCACGATACCCTTCAGAGGAAATATATGGAAAGACTTCCCCAACCAGAGCAGTCACTCAGAGCACTTTGCTTGTGGAGATCTTTACTTGCTCTCCTTGCACATGTAGAAGAGTATTGAAACATTTACTGGGTTATACCACTTAAAGTACCATTATTAGCATCCAAATGGCACCCCCTGAAATGCATGGTACAGTTGAGAGCTCAGAGTTGTTGCTCCAGGTCCTCTGCAAAATCAAATGTGTATTGCTGCACTGATAATACTTGTTTCTTGTGGTCAGGAGTTTGCATTGATGTCAGAAAGCCAGAGTTTGGCTTTTTTTTGTTTTGAAACAAAAGCTGAAATTCTGTAGAAAAATTGAGAGGCTTGTCTTTGCCTTTGCCCTATTTCCTTAGCTACTCTTTACCTCTCCCATGGTGACATGTACTTCTCTTTGTCAAACACTGCCTTAGTGCTAGACATTTTATAAACTATTATATGTGCTAGACTTTATTTTCCTGTCTCCTGCTGACTCTGTTTGCTCCTCCCTCTCTCTTTCTGTGAGAAACATGCATTTATTTCCATAAAACTCTCAAGCCCAGAAGCTCTAATCAAGAATTGATAAGCCTTATTTGGACAGGGAACCATGTCTTCTTTTTTTTGTCTATACAGGAAATAAAGCAATAAGGGCATGACCTTACACTGAGCCTCAGTAGTGAAAATGGTCTGTTTCACTACCTTCTGGATTTTGCAGTACTAGGATATAGTATAAATACATATCACACTGGAATGTCAAATAAAAGCTGTTGACGACATAAAACTCATATCCTCTCTTAGTCTTCTCATTTATGGTATTTATATAACAATTAAATGTTTAATCATTATTTCTTCCCCTTCCCACTTCAGATACCAAAAGGAGAGCTGCAAAATACTTTCACAGTATACGTAAATTTTGTTGATAATCTTGTTGATCTGCCACTCATCCACAGATGTCAGCAGGCTGCTCTTCTGTTTCATAGCATCTCTTCTTCTGTTTTCTTCTCCTTTTGCCTGTTCCAATCCCCTGCCCTTGTTTCCCTCCCTGTGTATACACTTACGACCAGCTCAGTATGCTCCTCCTCCCTTCTCCATCCCATTTTCTCCATCTGCCCATCAACACAAATCCAGATCTCATATTTACCTCTTCTTCTGCCATCTGCTCATTTTTGGTGACATTTGCCCCAACCTTGACTATCTCTCTCCACCTCTTCCCCTCTCCTGCTCATTCTACCCTTCCTGCTCATTCTCTCTTTTCTTCTCCTGTTGTCTCTGTAAAAGATCTTAGATATCTACAATTTCTTCATGCTGTACTCCCTCCAGGTGCTGGCTCTGACAGAGCCCAGGGTCCCTACATCTGACACTGATACTGCAGCTGCCTTCTCCTTTGGAGACCTTCCTGATCTGTAGCACTTCCCCTCCTAGGATCAGGCTGATAACCCACAGGTCTACCTGTCTGCTTCACATCTGTCTCATTCCTCCATCAGCCCACTGTGACAGCCTCCATTAAACACTTTTTGGGCTTTCCAAAATGCACTTTTGCACTAACTTAGGTGTTTTCCCTCATGCCTAGGAGCAGCTGCAGATGTACCTCTGTAAATAATAGCTGCAGAGGTACCTCAAACCTTTAAAACCCTTTTGTGCTGAGGGGCCAGCAAAAAAATGGATAGTGGTTGCACTGATACTCCTGCCTACCATGCTATTTAATATTGTCTTAGTTTTTCTTTGCAGTCCTTTCTCTGTAGCTCTTGACTTAGACTGTAAGCTCTTTGGCCAGAAAGTGTCCTTTGTTCTGTGCTTGTATAGTGTCTAGTACCTTAGGACAATGGGGCTGTGGTCTATAACTACATATAAAGGTTACCACAAAAATCATAAAAAATAACAATTATTAACAACAAAGCACATAGGGTTAACTCAAGAAGCTGTCACTTCCTGGTGAGATGGAGAGATCTGAGAAAACTGAGGTCTACTGACGCTTTTTAACCAGCAGGATACAATACAAGTTGTATACAGCTCGGGCTGCCAAGAAGCAGATGTTATCCACTGGGTCATGGCATCGAAGCGCCAGCAGTCTAACCAGACGGCCTAATCTGCTGAATTCAATTGATGCCTAATTAGAAAGAGAAGAAACCAATTAATCATATATAATATGATGAGGGTGCATGTGTGCAAGCCACTGTGTGCACACTGGCACCTTGTAGCTTTTAGCATGCCCACAATGAGGGTGTGGAGATGGACTGCCACACGTGCACACACACACACACACACACACACACACACACTGGAAACTGTTATTCCATTGAAAACCTGAGTATTTTCAAACCCTCAGGTTCAAATAGTCACAAAATTTAAAATAAGCCAAATGAGTCCCACGGTGAAGCAGGTCATACTATATAAAGGGTTCTTTATCCACACAATTACAGGTCTATTCTCTTCTGCTCTGCCCTTTCCTGTTATCCTTTATGCATAGGTAGTGTGTACATGCCCACTGTGAGTATAGCTGGGAAATCCAGTCTCCCGCTCCCTCCTCTGGTATCTGGTGCCTGCTCCTGCTTTGGAGGGGTGGTGTGGGGTGCAGGAGAGCACTGTGTGCACAGCAGGAGGCGAGTTGAGCTGCCTGCAAGCAAGAGGGGCTGCATTACCCATGCTGTGTGCACAGCTAGGAGGAAGGTTACACTGCTCACAGCCAAGGGACCCATGCTGTGTTTGCTGCAGGCAAGGGGGGAGCTCTGGAGTCTTTGGGTAGGGCAGCTGCCCTGCACAGGGAGATGGGGAGGAAGAAGAGAAAAAGCATGAATACCAAGCTGTCCACATGATATGTAGCCCCCTGCCGTTCAGAAGTTGGATAGCCCTGCTGAGGTACACAGCAGGAATTGGAGCGAGCAGTTTACAGGTCGCTATAAAGAGCCTTACACCCCTCATTAATTTGTTCACACCAGAGGAGTTTCCAGGTGTCCATATTGGCTGCTTAAAGTCCCTTTTGTATATCTGGTGTAGAACAAGAGAATTAGCCAGGCTACCCCAGGACCACTAGTTTTGAAAATTGTTCCTATTGACTACAATTGAAAATTGTGCCTTAGTGACTAGTTCTATGTGACCAGCAGCTAATTTGCATACACTGGAAAAGGTAAAATGGTATATGAAACCTGTTTCTAGAGGGTGGGTCACACAGCTATGAAGAGATGACAAAAATGATAGGTGGAATAGGAGTTGGCCTCATATCAAGCAAAACAAACTTTTTTTTTGCATTTCAGCAAAAAAATTGGAAAACTTTAAATTTTGTGATTCAATTTTGCATGATAAGATTCTTTTGATTTTAGGTTAGCCTACACAGCAACAACAAAAAAGCAATTATTTACACAGCCCTAGCTGGAAGTATTTGAAGATTATTGGTTACAGCCAAAGACCAGCCCCCTTTAAGTTCTGAGAAAACTCAGACCCCAACTTCGCAGCATCTTTTGTACACATGCAAAATTAGGTGAGGTTTTGGGTTGGAAAACTAGAGAAGGGCTGTCTGTTGGAATGTTCCAGTTTTGCCTCACTGTTACATGTATTAAACCCCCCATGTTTTAAAATGGCTGTGGGGGTGCTTTAAAGTGCCCCCCACGTCTATTTTAAAATGCTGGGGGCTTAATACATGTGACGGTGAGCCATTTTAATTAGAGCGGCTATTGAGAAACCACTCCAATTAAAATGGCCGCACCCCCAAGTACGTGTATAGGCACCCCAAATGTCTTCTTAATGCAAAGTGTGTTTTGGTGGATTCACAGAGATGAATGCAGATTCAGAGCCACCTTTAAAGCTGTGTGCAGAAACTCATCTAAAAATGTTCTGCCTCTTAAGCATTTGCTATTACTATACTGTTTTATTTAATTCAGTGATACTTACAGTTTTACTTTTATCTCTAAGCTTTCATAATCAAAGAGAACTTCCTTTAGTTATGGATTCATTCAGCCTCCTTACAGCATATGAATACATTGTGGAAAATTATGCACAGCAACAAACAATTTTGTAAGGGATTCAGTTGTAAAGTAAATATTACCACAAGATGCAAAGGGTCAGCACAACACTTCAGGAAGAACGAATTGTTTTTCTTGCCCAGTGAAGCTTTGAAAAACTTGTGCTATTTGCATTGACTTTGCAATGACATCACATTGGGAAAGGGATTTAAGGGAATAACTTTTCAAAGGAAAAATTTAGGCAGCCAATGGCAATAAAGATTTGAAGGTTGTTTGTCAGACAAATGTGATCTCTGTTGAAATGAATGAATGGCTAAATTCCTATTAACTCTAATGGATGTAATATGAGTTCCTACATTTTGCTTGCTTTTTGTAAGTAGTAGGTTGTTTTTCTGGGCCAGGATCTATAGAGTTGGGTCAGCAGAGGTAAAAGTTACTCACATCAAAATTAGGAAGCTTGGCGACACACCTCAGGAGCCGGGCACTGCACCACATTGCCCGTTCCCGCTCATGATCCTTTCTGGAAGATAGCCAAGGCTCTATGTACTAAGGCGAAAACAAAGGAGACCGCTGTTCACCAAATAAACCCCAGTGAAAATATAGTGGGCCCAATCCTCAGTGGGTGTAAATGAGGGTAATGCCACTAACAGCAATGCATCGCTGTCACCTAGCACTTCTCACCTTTGGAATGCATGCAGCTTTTCACATGGGAAGCCAGCCTCATTATTGTCATTTTACAGAGTGGAAAATTCAGGCCCAGGGAGAAAAAACAACTTGGCCAAGCTCACCCAATAGGCCAGAAATAGAATCAGGACTTGAACCCCAGGTCTCTTCAGTCTCAGGCAAGTGCTCCACCCAGGAAACTACTTTAATTTATATTAATTTTTGTCTGATATTAGATCAGATACAGAGGTATTTGCTGCTTTTTAAGACTGGAATATTATCCAGAATACTCGTCTTTATATAAGTAAAGCCTATGGGTTTTTGCCTCTGTGCTGTCTCCTGTGTTTTTAAGGAATCTATTCTCAAACAGTTCCTCTGAAGGTGTAACAATCTTCAGTATCAAAGGCAGCTTATTCCCTCCTCTTGAACCTAAAATAATAAGATCCGGTTCTGGCTGGTCCAAAGTGAAGTTTGATTTTATCCTTCCAAACAAGAATGATAACATGCAGGATTCCCATCTCTCCCCTTACTACTCTAGGGAGATGCTGAAATTCAGCCCCTTGGATGACAGTCTTTCCTGATTACACTTTTTTCAGTGCCATGAAGAAGAAGCTCTATATGAAATGAAGCCCCTTCTAATATTCAATCTCTGAATATGAGGACTATGATAAGGCTTAATGAAGGCTGAATCAAGATGACATGGCTAGGGTCCCAGTTCTGGAAGAAATGTGATGACAGCAGAATCTCAGATTTCATTTTTAAAAAGTAATTTCTAGCCATTGCTATTTGAAAATGTAGCCTGAGCATAAATAGTATAGAAGGACCTGCCTCAGCCTGCAGAGGGCAGGAAACATTGAGAGGTATGAACTGTCTTTTACATCACATGGGGTGCTAATGCTAAGATAATACAATCATCCGGCCAAAACAAATCCAGCAGAGGTCTCTACATGGCACAAGAAGAGTGCAGTTGGGCCCAGATCACTCATTCCTGAGCTGCTGGAGGTAAAGACCTAGGAGCTTCTTTACTATCGTTCCTAACTGAGAGGGCATTTTTACATCTCACAAGTGCATGACACTGTTGTTGATGCTGAGGGTACACATATCATTGTCCCCTGGTAGATTGGGGCTTTGATGAATAAGGACATGGCCAAAGTGCAGGGGCACAGCCATAGGGCTAGAGGAAGGGTCAGCATTTTGCGGTATGTCTAGAACTCCAGAATGTCTTAATTTAGACTTGAACTTTGAGACCATAGTGGAACCATGAGATTCAAACCCTCTGCTGTAAACTTCTTTTCCAGTCTTGTACTCTCCACTTCTTACCTCCAAAATCTTCTGGACATCACCAGGATATTCTAATACCAGACCCTCCAGCATTCCTCTCAAGGCACTGATAGTTTCCTTGTACAAGGACTAAAAACAAAGATAGTGCAAGAATCAGTGTCATAGACATTGGCATTCTATAGGCACTTCAACACCTTCTTTAGAGAGAAAGGACACATCACTAAGGAAGAATCTGTATTCACATTTAGAGTCTACCTTGAAGTCAACCTCAGCCAGCCCAAGCTGCCCAAGCTGGCCATCCTACTTCACAGGCCACACCAAAGATGTCCACATTGTGGTTCTGATTTGTGAAGCAGAGCGCTTCTAGGAGGTGGTCTACAAATGCCTTGTATTTCCTTCAGGCTTGTCTCTACTCACAGGCAGTAAAGAGAGGATGGAGGAATTAGAAGGACCAGAAGTCAAGAATAGGGAACTGTAACATTGCTGCTTGGGGGTTAAGCATACAGGTTTATACTATAGCTGGTTGGCAGAGAACCCTAAAGTCAGGCATTTCAGTGTAGACGTAAATCTTCCTCTCTTTGTGCCTCAAATCCTTATCTGTAAAACAGGGCCAGCTGCACTACAGGAAAGCTGATAAATACATGAAAGCCTGTGAATTGCTCAGATATATTGGGAAAGGGGCTGAGATAAATACCTGAAACACTGGAAAGGAAAAGCTTTGTGAATCCCTTAAATAGGAAGAACAATTTCTAGCACTTAGGTATATTAATGTACTCTTACTTTCTAGAAACATGCCTTAAACTTCAGCTAAGAAGCAGGTGCAAAATAAGTTTGCTGTTTTCAACAGAGACCTGATATACAGGCAGACATTTAACATGAAAACTGCAACCTAAACATTGGGCTGTGGCCCTGATGAAAAACCAAACCTCAAAAGGAGACAAATATCAGAATTTAGGGAATTAAATGATATCAGCTGGATGGCAATATTATTTTTCTCCATATAGCTTCCTGAGTTAAGGAATACCTTCTACAGTTATGGTGTGAAATTTCTCAGTCAAAGAGGCCAATGCCCAGATATCTTTGGAGCTATGAACTTCCATTATTCCTTTCACATATAGACATTACACATAAACTGGTGTAAGTGACCAAAAACTGGTCTACACCCATAACAGAACAGTTCAGGGCACTTACACTAGTTTAAAAATGAAAGATCCTGGACTGAGAGAGGCCTGGATTGATGAGGTATCAGATTTAATTCATTTAGGTTAGACTAGTCTATTGAACTTCTGTACCAGATCTCCTATTGATTCCTGCTGGTCACTGTCTGCTGGCACCCCAGGGGCCTTTGTGCCCCCCACCCCCTCCCAGGGAGATATGCTAGCACTCACTGGGTGTTCAGCTGCTGTGGGCTGTAACAGACCCAAGCCAGCACAGACAAAGGCAGGTTGGGGGGGTGGGACAGGAGGGGGGGGGGCAGGGGTCAGTTAGCAGGGACAGGAGCTCGCCATAGAAGGAAGGCTTGGGCCACACAGAGCCTTAGAGAAACTGACATATGTTTGATTGAGTCTGCCTCAGGCTTTTTGAATGTCTGTACCTAGCCATGAAAAAATCCTAATTAGCGGTGAAGTAACTTAAGTCTGTGCAGAGCAGATACACCCTCCACACACAGTTCCAGGTGTATATTAGGGCCGTGTGAAGCTTCAGGTGCTGATTTGATCTGGAGGAGATTTGGCCTGATTTGGTGGCCAAATCTCTGAATCCAAATTGAATCAGGAGACCAATTAAAAGGTCCGAATTGATTCAGAAAAGATTCGGAGACCTTCAGCAATTTGGGCAATCCCTGCTCACCGCCGCAGGGAGCTGGACCCAGACTCTGTGCTGGTAGGAGGGGGCAGGGGAGAGGGGGCTGGAGAAGTGGGGAGGGGACCATGGGGGGAACCCTGCCAGGCCCCATCCCCTGCCTGCTCCCCCAGCCCC